TGACAAAATATATTGGCTATCATATAATGAAATTCGGCTTTGAAGTTTTCAAATTAATTTTGTTCACATTTCAGCTTCTAAAGCTACTTGTTGTATCAAGTACAAGTCAATAGTGAAATTGTTGATTGTAACCACAGGGGGGATTATTGATACATATCCTGGTGGAATGGGAAATGGCGGGTCCCAAAATACTTCACCTACAGGAATATTTATTTGAAAGTGTGGCAAGTTAGGTCTATTGCAGGGAGCAGGATCATGGATAGGGTCACTTGAATTTTTTTTAATATTTCCAAAATCCCATCTTTGTGTTGCCATTCCTTGACGATAAAGTTTCGCCTAACATTAAAAAAAAAAACAGTTCAATTAAATATCAAAAGAAGCAATGTTTGACTTGGTATCATTAAATGATATACCGTCATTTATCTATAAAAATAACCAGTTGCAGGTTCTCGAATATCTGGTCTTGGTTCTAAAATCTTAATACTAACAACTGCACGAACATATTGTTCACGCATCCAAGTCAAGCACTTTCGTTTTAAATAACCAACACATTGGCCTACTGCTACCTCGCACATTATCCGCGCATGTGAATTTCCCTACATAAACCATGATAATGAAAATAAAACAAATAAAATCATGAGAATTCCTGAATCTTCAAGTATCGATCTACTAATACTCGAACGAGTCTCAAAATTCAAAAATTCAAGTTCAAAAATCAGTTTGAAAATTTCCGGCCTAACGTTTCATAGTCACATGTATTATACTATAAATAAAGCTACTTCTAAGAACGGTAAAACATTCTGATAAGTATGAAAGCGCTAAAAAAATTAAGAATAAGCCTATCCACATATTCAAAATCCATTTGATTTGCTATCGATATTTGAGATTTCGTTGACTATGTCATATATATTTACGTATAATAAAAACTTAACATACATTTGCATCGCTGGGAGGAGGGGGTATTACGGTGGAAAAAGCGGGCCTTGGAACGAATGCTGTACCTGGACGTACAGCTACAGGAGCTATTTTAACTCCATTTCTATAATGAACTATGCGAAAAGAATATAAGATTATTGAAATTCAATAACATGAAACAACTAGAATAGATTCTCTTACGAGGTTTTCCAGAAACTTTTATGGGAGGATTGTCAATAATTCCACCGTTCGGAACCCTGAAAAAGTCTTGAAGCCGGGAAACAACATCCTCATGTATGGTAAATGTCATACCAATTATATATACGTTACCAGTTTTATTGTCGCTATTTAGCTCAAATCCCTCTGACCCGTGGTTGTCAATAAAAGTATTATAATTCTTGATCGTTACATTCGAGCCAATTTTTAGAGGCAAACTTCATACAAAGTCCATATTAGCTGGTACTTAAGTAGTAAGTTAATGCAACATATACACTACCTGCTTTCTGTTGGATTTTTTGGTAATTTTGGATATTTATGTAAACATTCATCAATTCTATCCAAAATCCTTGCCCACCAAATTTGATTTGAAGTACGTGCTCGAGACATTTCAAGCTATAGTTGATTATTACTGTATTATAGAAAAACATGTAGTGAGGATGCTCTAATGAAGAGTTAATAATAAAGATCTTGGCTCAAGATAAATTTACCGAGGCTAATCTTCGAAAAACAAT